ATCTTGAATAATTTTGTATCATCTGCAAACTTTAACACCTTACTGTTTGCCCCTTTTTCCAGATCATTTATGAATATGTTGAACAACACTGGCCCCCGTACAGATCCCTGGGGGATACTATTATTTACCTCTCGCCATTGTGAAAATTGACCATTTATTCCTACCCTTTGTTTCCTATCTTTTAACCAGTTACCAACCCATGAGGGGGCCTTCCCTCTTATCCCATGACTGCTTAAGAGCCCTTAGTGAGGGACCTTATCAAAGGCTTCCTGAAAGTCCAAGTACACTATAACCACCCGATCATCCTTGTCCACATAGTTTTTGACCCCTCAAAGAATTCAAATAGATTTCTGAGGCATAATTTCCCTTTATAAAACCTGTGTTGACTCCTTCACCAACCAATAGTGTTCATCCATGTGTCTGACAGGCAAAATGCTTGAAACTGGTAGAGAAGTTAGGCTTACTAGCAGGATTGCTTCCGGAGCCTTTTAAAAAAAAAAAATCGGTATCACATTAACTATCCTCCAGTTATCTGGTATAGAAGCTGATTTAAGTGATAGGTTACATACCACAGTTAGTAGTTCTGCAATTTCATATTGGAGTTCTTTTAAAACTCTTGGGTGAATACCATCTGATAAATTAAATTGAAGTCACCAGGACCTATTTGTTCCAAAAATCAAATAAATCAGGAATTACTCCATTGAAGCCATGAGTGTTACACCAGATTAGTACCAGTGTGAGGTCACAGTCAGACTCATTGTAGATGGAATGATGTCTTGATTACGAAGAGTCGGTAGTTCAGGCTGTAGTTTCTAGTAGGATCCAAGTGTGAAATTTTCCAATTTAAACACACTAACCCCTAGTTTTACCAAAAGAATTGTTTACATTTTCTACAAGGTCCCATAAAATAATCCATCTTCACAAATGCATTTCAGTAGAATTTATAGCGGTGGAGCCAGATCCTCATTTGGTGTAAACTGGTGCAGCTACACTGATTTCAATGGAGTTACAACAGTTGAGTCCAGACTCTGGTTTGGATTCTGATCTTAGTTCTACTGGTATAAAACAGGAGTAACTCTATTCAAGTCAAAAGAGATATAGCAACATAACCAAAGTACTTTGGTTATAGCAACGTAACTAAAGTAAGAAATTGGCCCAAAGTACCAACTTTCCCTTTGTAATCTCCCTGCTACTTCTTCATTTGTTGGTGTCTGTGTGGTACTATACTAGGCATTCCGGGCAGTAACAATCATGCCTGGAAGACCAGAGATGACTTAAGACTGTGCAGCAACCTGTAACAAGGAGAATACAATTTTATTTGGTTCAGAGTTAAATGTGTGATCACACACTAATCCACGTCACTCAGGCACATGCAAGTGGGAAATAATCAGTGCTCCAATCTGAAGCTGTCAGTAGTGAGGTATGCAGATGCTTAAGTTTTAGACAGCTGCCAATAAATAAAGCTGACCTTCACTTCCTCATTCTTGTGAGGAAGTGGGGGGGAAAAGAAAATCCATTAAGGAATTCCACCAAGACAAGAAAAGAAACAGGGAGAAGGGAAAATAAAACTCTCTCACAGTTCTCTGGGAGAAAATGGTTCCAGCAACAGCTGTCTCACATTTACTCACTGACTCCTTGAATCATCTGCTATTGAGAGAGGTTGCCAAAGAAGATCAAGGAGAAAGAGAAACTCTGATATTCATTGCTGGTGCTATTGGGAAAATGCTAAATCCAAAACCAGTGAGCAGCTGAGATGGAGCATGAGGATTTCAACAAGAAGAGGGGGCAGGAAGCAACAAGAGGGAAAGGGAAAAAAGGAAATTATGTACCACTGCTGTCAGGATGGTGACTGGGGGAAAGCACATGTTGTGGAGTGGGAGGGAAAGACCACTCTCAGAGTCACTGAATATAGATCACGGTCTTCATTATTAGTGATGAATGTTTGTTCTTACAAGGAAGCCATGAAAAGTCAAGGAGGGACGGACTAACTGGCTCAGGGGTCTGGTAAAGGCATAGGGAGCTTTTCACTCCTACGTCACTGGTTTCAATCTAACCTGAGTCAGTACTGGCCAAAAGGTGATAACCATCTGATGCGTTGTGTGAAATGAATGGTCAGGTCTCAATCCAGTCCCAGGTTTCCATATGAGTCAACATGCCATCACAAGTGGCACCCCTCTTGGCAGTTTCAGCAGAGAATCCTACAAAGTAAATAGCCCATGAACTCATTTCACTAGCTGGTCCCAGGCGATGAGGGCTGAAGCACAGTAGTGAGGCAGTGAGTCAAGTCTTGCACAGCTGCTGCCTGTATTGTAACTTTCCTCTGTTCCCATCTAGGGCTGTCAATCCAACACCTTTCACCAGCACAAAATTCCATTCTAAAGCAAAACAAAATCTAATGAGCATGCCAGAGTTTTAGATCTTTTTCATCTTTAAATTACTCTGTAAGACACAGCAGTGAGATGTTTTCTGAAAGATCTGCTCTAGTTCAAACAGGAATTACTTCAGGAAAGTTCTATGCCCTGTGTTATGCAGGAGGTCAGACTAGAAGATTATCAGAGTTATCCTTTCTGGCCTTAGAATCTATGACAAAGACTGAGCTCAGGCCAGGTTCCAGAGAAGCTCAATCTTCCCCACTGTCTATGGACCTAATGGTCCCATTTCTGTCAGCTTCCAAGCCTGAGATGCTGAAATCCTCCTCCTCTTTGGCTCATCTACTGTTTCCTTAAATAGCCTATTGTCTCATCATCTATGTGAAAACACAGCAAAGCCTTTGGGGGGGGGGGTCTCACCTTTTTCATGAGGCCAATCCACAATTTCATCTTTTGTCATGAAGAACAATGGAGCCAGAGCAATTTGTTTCCATTCTGCATGTTCAGAATATGTGTCTCCTGTTCCTCCTGTGTAGAGTTTGCTTTTGATTAGCTTTCACTACTCAAGAAGAATTCTAATGGCTTAATTGTGTTGCTGCCAGATCCCGGTTTGGGGGAATTCTGAGTTGGTTTTATAGGCTAAGAGAGAATTTCTGAGGAGGGAGTTAGAGAGCAATGGGTTGGAATCTACCTAAAGCAGGAAGCTTTAAACCCTTCAGAGAACTCATGCACTGAGAGATGCTATTAAACACTCAGGTGATAGGAGACATTTCCCACCAAAATTGTCCTTGGAAGCCAAAGGAGCTGTGAAGTATTTGCAAAGTCTTGGTTATAAAGCTGCAGATCCAAGACCCAGAGCGAAGAGCTGCTCAGAAAGGGCGTTGTTGTTGTTTTATTGTATTAAATCCAGATTCAGTCCTCTATTATCTCCCAGGCACATACAGTAAAGGCACAAGCTGGCTTGTCTAGTGCCTCCTTGGGCTCAGCCACCTCACCCCCTTAGTGAAAACTCCAGATCTCCCAGTAAAGCAGAGACATTCATATCCCTCTTCCTTGGCCTGGCTGTCAAGGAACTGCAAGACCACTCTGAGCCAAGGCCAGGACTAGAGGGTAACAGTGCTTCACACTTGACAGATGAGATATGAAGCTTTATGTCACAGGCATTCTTAACTCAGAACCTTAAAGTGTGGCATCAGCTTCCTTCCTTGCCTTTCACTGAGCACGGACCACGTTCACTTGGGATGCCACCACTGATCCACTGAGAGACTTAAATGGGTGGACGATGGCAGTGGTAGGTATTTGAAGACTTCTTCAGAGTTAAGATAAGAACTGCTTGGGTTCAACCTGTTGGAGAGAACTTTGGAAAATGCCATTCCAGTTTCTGGACATAGGCTTTACAAAATTAGTAAGCAGGAGCATATCCCTGCTGCTAACCACATGTTTTGTTTTGTTTTGTTTTTTTAAAAAAAAGAAGAAGCAAACACTTATCTTTCTTCCTCGTGCCCCCCCCCCCATGCAAAAACATTTGACAAAGGCAATTGTTTGTGCATTCCGTTCATTCATGGATGAGATAGTAAGTAAGTTCCCCCAGGCTCACAAGAGCTTCTGTGAATCATTAGATGTGACTTCTCAAAGGCCCAGCTGTACAAGATGAGATGTGTTACCATACACTAGCCCAGCAATGATTTATCATCCCAGTCATTTACAGTTTGAGACAAATAAAAAGATATACACAGAGGAGTTGACTTGGGATTGCTACAGCATATGGGTTTATTCAGCAGATCAGCTCGGTCAAGTTGGGACAAAGAATTAAAATCTGATTGAAAGTTGCCAGGGCTGTGAATTACTGCCAAACACGCGAGGTCACCCCAAAGCACCTCCAGTGTAAACAATCTCAAGCTTCAGAAAGGCTTCCTCAGTTAGGCTAATTACCAGAAAACTAGTGAGATTTAAGGTTGTGCTTTCTTTTTCTTACATGCAGATTATACCACACTAACCATTGTACTCTCTCTCAGCCGTTCACGTGGTTTCTCCTCATCAAGATGGTTGTTTCATTCGGAAGAGGCAGGTCATGGCATCAATTTATAATCCCCACAACTAGAAAGTCAGTAATCTATCTTTCTGAGTTCTTCCTCTATACTTTGAACAGGAAATATCTGTGCTAACTGTGGGGTAACAACTGGTAAATGTTGGCTTATTAATGGCTTTTGCTATAGATCATTGACTCCATACTTTCTGCATTATGGACAGAATTGACCTTAAAAGCACTACAGAAGCTCCTGGGGCCTTTATGCTATTGGCACTTAAATAGAATGGTAACGGGCACCCAAATAGATGACATCAGTCTAGGTTAGAGTGTGAGATTACTGAAAGCCTGTCATTAATACAGCAAGACTCAGTTTTAAGGTAAATCACAGTAGCTTTAAATCAGCATTGATAGTAGTGACTGACTGTAGAATATGTGTGATAAATAATCTATGTGGGGGAGTTGACACTACTTTGGTTGATCCAAAGTCCAGGTGAGGAAAATGGACTTTATGCCTCTGACAATGTTATGCACTGTGTAGAAGTATAAATCACCCTTTTCAAAGATGCATGGTGTTGGGCATTGTTGGCTGAGCGTGTTTATACCTGGAATCTTGTCCTCTCTGCAGCATAGACCTGGTAGTGAAGCATGGCCTGTAGGACCTTCTTATGGCCATCCGGCACCAGGCAGACAGCCCCGAGGATCTCCAGCACAGCGATTTTGGTCTTGATGTTCTCAGTCCGTAAGCTCTGGGAGATGATATTGATACTTTCTGGATGGGCCAGGACGTGTGCCCGTCCCTGGGAGTTGTTCATCAGTGCCTTGATACATCCTATAACGGATGTGTGTATGCGGCTCTCTGAAGTCTCATAGTCCATGCTCTTCAGGAAGTTCAACAAACAGGTCAGGCCATCCAGCTCAATAAACCTGGTCACAAACCTGAAGGGAAAGGGAGGAAAACAGAATTAAGGCAAATTGTACAATAGGCATCAAATTAATAGACTATGGAACTATGATCCTAAGAACAGAGCAATTGGTAGCCTAGATAACTTCAGATGATTCCAGGCAACACGTCGCAAACAGATGGTCAGTCTTGTTGTCATGGTCATTTTGCATTCTGTCTGCTTCAAATCCCACCTTTTGTTTCCCCTGTCCTATGTGCTTGGACAGTGTTACTGTATAATAACTACCACGTTCAACCCCAACGGCTGCTGCATTTCAATGGCTGGTGAAAAGTTTCCTATATACTGGCAAAATCTATAGAGACCACACCTACAGTCCTGGATCAGGCAAAACTCCAAAAATGGCTTGTATAATCTCTGCTGGCAGGAGATGTGCTTAAGAAGGGAGCAGACTCAATGACCACCATGGATACCATCGGGGTCTGGCATGAGGACACAAATAGACTAGATATGTAGACAGTGAATTTGCAGACGGAACAACATGGAATAAAGCGGTGTTGGAACAAGTTTTGGGTCACTTTTCAAGTCACTGGGGTTCTGTGTCAAACTTTCATTATGAAACCAGGCAAAACGTGTCTGGTTTAGATAAATTTCATGCACCAATCTTGATGGATACAACATAGAAAAAGCCCAAGGAGGCGTCTATAGTTTCATTAAAACCAAAGATAAAAACACGATAGGTCAGTTTATCCCTGGAATTAATCCACTGAAGTTAACTGAGTCCATTGAAGTCAGTGGAACAATACTGGGAACAAATTCACCCCATTGGTTTTAGCTGAGTTTCACTGTGAGTTTCCAGTAGGCTTAATAATTTGGGGTCCTATGCAAAGTGAAGTGAACAGGATCCCATCCAGTTCCCTGTCCAACTTGTGAACACTGAGCGGCTCCAAGTGTGCGTGTCATTGCTTTCGGTTCTCGTCTCTGTGCACAAGACCACTCCTGAGCCTCAATGATGTATTAGTATACAATGCACATTAGAAATAGGTCAGCCAGTCCTGTGGTTGGTACTCCACTTTACCACACAGAAAATGTCATGGCCTACCTGAAAGTTGGGTTTGCCAACTTTCAGCTTACTTGGACCAACAGTTCTGAGCAGAAACCAGGCAAAACCTGGTGGTTTCAGATGAGTTTTGCTCTGAGGTTTGTTCAAACCTGAACTTCAAAGCAAATTTTAGAAGGGGCCAAACACACATGCACCAACAACGAGAAGAGGGATTTCATTAACTCAGTTCAGCAAAACTGCCAAGTTTCACACTGCTCTGATCACAAATTACTTGTCTTTTGGGTGCACCGTCCTAACTATCTGTATGAGCCACAGGAAGAGAAGCCCCTCTCCCCCCCCAGGTAGATGGAAAGACCACACAGAGTGCACCAGGAATTCAGTAAGACACTGAACACCCCTTTTTGTTATTCTAACTGGTTGCAAGAAAACTAAAGGGTAGTTCAGGGTCTGTGACCCATTCGGTTGCTGGCCTCTCTGCTGAGACTGCAATTTAGGCAGTTGTGGCCAACTGTGGTGGTGGTGCTGTGTCTGTCATACATGTGTCCACTGAGAATTGGACTGAGACCAAAATCATTTTGTGCAGACTAGCAGATGCCCATGAAATGATCACTTTTAGATGTTTCGCCAGCTGTATCCCAGAAGGGCCTGAAATTTTCTCCATTTTCTAGTCTGAATAGGATGGTACAACACATTATCAGCTCTGAGTCCTAACGTATTTACTTCAAAACTATTTCTTCATGGTGATTCTTGCCAAGTTTCTTTGTGAATCCAAGGGCTTGCCAAACTCATTACCAAAACCCAGTGGCAAAAGCATTGCCATCCTCATAGCTCCAGGGCTAAGAGGAGGCTAAGACTGACGCCACCTGAGGACACAGCATTCTCCAGTGGTTCAAGAAAATCACTCAGAGCCTGGTCAGTCAAGGGTTTCTGAATTCCACTTCCAGATGGAGAACCGGCTATTGGTGTGAGACATACAAGTTACTGTGACTTTCATGTACCTCTGCCAGCCCAGCTCTGAAGGCCAGGTGACAAATAATTTGTGAAAGGCACAGTGACATTCTCACAAGCATAATACCCAAATAAATCTAATGGCAGAGAAACGTTGCTAGGATTCCTAGGGTGAAGTCACTCCAGCAGGAGGGTAGGTGCAGGAAAGAGATTAATGTCATAGACCTTGATTAACGATGAAGTTTCAAACAATGTCGGGATTTTCCTGTATCCTATCTGGTCCAGAGAGCAAAACGCTAAGCTCTGTTACTCAATAGGAAGCAAACTTGACTACCTCCCAATCTCAGCTGACATCAGACGTAGGAATAAAGCTGTGATTGTCACCTTCCCTTGTCTAAACACTTAGTGCCCTGTCATCAGGAAAAGCTATAAATTGTATGTGTGAGTGAGAGAGAGATGGGGGAGTCGAGCTCATGAGCTAAATGTCATTCTCATTGTGTATTTATTTGGCCCGCATGATGCATGCGGGACAGAGATGGGAGAGTTCAGCTCCTAGGCTGAATGCCATTTATATCATCACATTTGCTTAGTGCTTTTGTGCGTGTGTGTACATAGGTGCACACGCACACACACACACACGTACATGCTTGTGCATGTACGAGGCATGCAGTTGAGTTTCTAGGGAAGAGTGCCATCGTGTTATGTGCGTGTACAATTAGCCTCCCACATGCCCCATATGTTGCACATGAGGGCCTTGTTTTAGATGGAGATTTAAAGGAGTGATGTCAGAACATGTTTGCTAACGTGCCCTGTGTAACACATTCTAAAGTTCCAGCATAGACAAGGCAGCATGTGCTTTAAATAGGTGCCAAATTGGTTGAATTAAACCCTAGGCTCCCTGCAGGTGTTTGCTTGGCCAGCGCAATTCATGTTAAAAACAGGGTTCTACACTAGGGTTTTAAAACATTTTAATTTGAATATTAGCTAACATAGCTTAACAACACACCTCTCATCCTAATGTAGACAGGGCCTACGTGACAGTGATTTTCCCCACGGCTGTGTCTTATTCTCTGATCTATCCCTGTACAGATTGTGCTGCAGCCTCACTGTGAGAAATGACACAGCTTGGGAAAGACGGAAAGAACAGTAAACCGGGGGGGGGGGGGCAGAAGGCGCGTGGGGAGGGCAGGATGTTCCCACCCTACTGACAGTCAAGGCGATGTTTCCCAGGCTAGCTGCAGCAGTGCCTTTGGATCAGGAGGCATGCACAACCCTGACAAACCTTGGACCTCTGCCCTGCCTGAAATTCAAAGCAGAATAGGCTGCATTTGCTGGATAGATTAGTGATCAGCTAAAGTACACAGGAGTGACACATGGCTAAACCAAGCCAAAATAAAGAGAGCCCGGCCTCCATTTATTTTAAGACTGGGTAAAATAGGGTTGGAGCAGGGCTGAAGAGTGATGACATTTATTGTTGATAATTCAGATTAAATAAGATCTTTCTCCCCTTGCCCTCAAACTTGAACCAAAACTCTCCCGAGATTCCAGAAAGTTGGGTTAACTTCTCGTGCCCCTCATCAACTTTCATTTTCACTGTGCTGCTGCATTTCCATATTCAAGTGCTGAAATACAAAGAGCAAAGCTGTTCTCTCACCGATTCTAGTAATAATCTTTGAGGAACTTTAAATTAAAATCTGTTTTCTTACAATACATATTTTCTTGAAAGTTACAGTTGTTCCTGAGCACTGGGATGCATGCAATGGATTATTTTTATACAGCTGCTACTGAGATCCATGCACTTATTTATTATTGTAGGGCTGCTCCTAAGCACTGAGACAGACACACTGGTTTATTATAAATGGAATGTCTATTGCACTTTCATCTAAAAGCAGAGTGCTTTAATGAATTAAGCCTCACAAAGATGCCCGAGATGCAGGTGTGTATCATTTCAAATTTTACAGATGGCTATCCCAGTTAAAGGGACTCCATTCTACAGTATTAGAAAGTACATATCCACATGGGGACACTTTGTTCAGTGACTCCTCTTACAGAGATGCCTACGGGTAAGCAACCAAGGCACTCCATCAGTATCCTGTGCCCTCTGCAGAAAGATTCTGTTCATTCCATTTGATACAAGTTTCGGTTTTCATTTGCCATGTTGCTCGGGGATCTAATGAAAAGAAGCAGCCTGGAAAAAGGGATTCGTGTCCAAATTCAACTAAAAAGACTGGTATCTTGAAGGCCTATGTATAGAGCTGCTTACAGAAGGGATCTGATGTAGCTGTGGCTCCCCCACCCCCGCATCCTTTTCATCAAAGAAGGAATTGGCTTGTGATCAGGCATTGGCACAAGGCCTGTTTGGCAGCTAACAAATTGAGTCATTGGAAATTAGTTGAGACACGGACTTAACTCAAAATTTGGCTTTGCTTAACTATGGGAAAAAAAGGTTCTAAGCCACCGTCAGCAATTTAAGAGGGAACGCTTTATGTGACAGTTCATTGATGCTGGTGCAAATGCTCATTATTATAAACAAATTAAATGAATGCCTGTTGTCAGAGGGACCCAGCTGAAGCAGCACAGGACTGGTTGAGAAAGCCCTGAAAATCTGATCTTTGGCTGAAGACACTTCCTTTACCCGACTCACATACACCCCCCCCCCCAGGAGATTGGGAGTGGGATCTTATTGGAAAGGCCTTGAAGGATAGAAGGAAACTCATTGGTGGCAGTGAATATGTTTGAGCTGGACACTCAAGCCCATGGAAATGTCTCGCTCCACCGCTTGCTGCCATAAATGTACTCAACTGACATGATGAAAGTCTGTCAATTTCATTGAATATGCTCCAAAATAGATCTGCACCAATGCAAAGGATTGATTACATTCTTTCACAGCAGCTTTGACATGTGGGTTGAAAAACCAACACCTGGCCTAAGAGTGGGGAAGTTGTGACAAGCTGCCATATTTCCTGTTTATCCTTTAAGTCAATTTGGATTGTATTGTATTCTTTGCTGTGCGTCTAGAATACAGGCAGTCAAGATTAGATGGCCACTTGCAAGCAGGTTGTCCGCAGATGCCAACAACATCCTCCAAATCATTTCACCACTTTCAGCTACACTGCCCTGAAACTCACAACAGAGGAGGTGCTGTATGTCACAGTACAGCACTTCCTACGAAGTTCTGTCAAAACTGCCACAAAGGATTCTGGGTTACAATAGATGAAGTCAGATGGCAAGGGGCTGAATATGGATTCAAATCATGAACAAGTTTGAAAACAACATTCCAGCAGGTCAATAAGTCATAGTCTCCCTTCTCCACTTAAAAGCTCCACGCTCATCCAGTACCTGAGCATGCACTCACCCAGCCCAAGGAAGACCAAAGGCTAAAGTGATGGGCCATTTGCTTATTCCCTCAAAAAGAAGATGCGAGTGCATAGATGTTCCTTTACATTCAGAGCGCAACACAAATAGATGTTCTGGGAGATGTTTCACCAATTCTAATTGGTGGCTATACTTAGGAAAAACCCTGAGTAGCCCAGGGGTATTAGGTTTGTCAGCGTTCCTGTCTGGCTTATAATCAAGACAGGCCCAAATCACAATACCGGCTCTGCATCCAGATTCACTTTCCTAAAGCTCAGATCTGAAGCCTCCTATCTGCTGGTGTCCCCACTCTAGTTATAATTAGAGAGGGTCCCAAACCAAAATCCAAGACCTGAACATTCCTGAACTTGATTCCAAAACTAGAGCCAGCTCTGGACTTTGCAAGTGGCCAGCCTCTCTCTCTAATGGGCCAAAATAAATCCCTGGAACTAAAAAACTCTGAAGTTTGAGGGATTGAAACCTGAATCCAGAATTCCCAGCGTGTCACGAAGCACTCAGAATTATAGAGCTCTTTCAAGAGAGAGGCCTTGTAGGAAGGCTGCACCAGTAACAGTCTGCTTTTTAGATGTTCCCTTCACATCCCTGCAGAACAGAGAACAAGCACCATAATAAAAGTTGGTTTTGCTCCTGGAAAGCAGGTAGTTAGCACCCTAGTGAATTCTTAATGGGGCCTGTATCAAGCAAAGCAAAGAACAGTGGGTTCTTTCTCCTCAGATTAACATATTTCCCACTCTCTGGATTTTTCCAGAGATAACGTGGCATTAGCTGCTTTCTCACACTGCCCCCACTTGACATACACAGCAGATTAATAGAGTGTGTGAGGGGCAGGACTCAGATTTATGGATGACATGGCAAACAAGACACCCTTTTTGTTGCTCTCTTACAAGGTCACATTTTCAGGAGCTTTGAGTGGATTATGCTTTCCTGCATGGAGGGAGGAAGAAAACAAATCCTGACAAGAGAGGACTGGCTTCCTGTTATAGTTACGACAATTTAGGATTTGCCATAATGAATCAAGCCACTGGTCCATCAACGACTCCATCCTGCCTCCCCCAGGGACTAATACCTGATGCTTTGGAAGAAGCTGTGAATGCATGCACATGCACCACCCAGCCAGCTGTACAACCCTCTGCATAAAGGGAGAAAACAACCTCTATTTCAATCATTGCTCCCAGCTGTTTGGTTTGGTTAATTGGAACATGCTCCAGAATTATCGCTGGTGTAACTGCATCAATCACATTCAATTTGACCCTTTACTAAGTCCACACGTCTATATAATTCATGCTCACAAAAAAATATTGCAACAACATGAAGGACACAGACATGCAAAACTCAGCCATTTGGCTTTGCAGGAACACGTGAGAAAGAGATTCTTCTCAATTGCCATCCACCTGGATTCCCAACTCTCTTGGAGGTGGCATTCACAAAGGTGGATGGTTTCAGTGGGAGTTAGTACCTTTGTGGTTCCTCTCTTGGTGCTACTTGGAGCTTTGGCTTCAGAACTCACCATGGAACTGTCACACTTCACCAGGGTATGTACTGAAGCCCCTGGAAACTGACTTCTGCATGGTTTGGATGCAGATACATCAGTCAGTCTCAGACCTCATGAAATGTTCATGAACTTTTTGACCAATCCACTCTACTTCCTGAGATCACACCTGTTATGGATCTGTTTTCTGTACACTGTGCTTCCCAATGTAAAGAGTCTCTAAAGTAGCCAGCTTGTAATTATTCATTATTGCTGCACCCAGCAAACAAAAGGTGACCTTAGATTTTTGAAGGTGCAGTTCATAAATATACAAAAAATAAACAAAAAACCAACTTAAGAATACAAGCCTAGAAGAGACGTCCTAGATCATAGAGTCCTCTGCTATCACCGACAAACCCATCATATAATCAAACATCTTGCTACATTCTCATAGCTACATGCATCACAGGAACAAAATCCCACATCAGGTGCATGTCAGATGACTTGGATGTTTCATACTTAGCATTCTGAGTTGCTCTAGATAAGGGATATTTGAATCCAATGAAGTTCGAGAGTTAAGACTGACATGCCATCCTTAATTCACTAATATACGCGGGGTACTGCACGCCATGCGGTCTAGAATCTGATTACCACAGTTTTCACCTCTATCTTCAAAGACCTTCTTCAGGTTTCTAATAATGCAACTTGTCTATGCTTTCCTGGAGGCACATTCATTACTCCACACATGCACCTGGATGGAGTGTTTAGAGATGAGGGTTGCAAGGTCCCCTATCAAAATTATGAGCTACCAAAGAAGGCTTTCTTGCTGTCTTTGAAGATGAAACAACTGGGTACCTGCCCACAATCTGCTGAAGGTTCTCTCATTGCCACCATTTCCTGTGTCAGATATAGCCCTGTGAAGGAGTGGGTGAAAGAGGAGATGAACAATTACCTCATTGGTTGAGTCCGCAGAGCTGTTTTCAAGTCTTCAACTATTTTATTCCTCATTTCTGTTTCTTCTTCATCAAAAGCGTACAGAGTCTGCATCTGTTTGGAAAGCAGAGAGATGGTTACAAAAGCCAGGGCTGCCTGATGGACGGTCAGAGAAAACAGACTGCTAGACAGCCCAGAGGTCATCAATAAGAAATATTCTACCAAATCACTTGGAGGTGCTTCCATCTGCAAAGCTGAGTCCAGCTGAGACTGCTTCTATTCCTCTGGGTTGGCAATAGTGTATAACCCAGTGTTCTCAGATTATCAGAGGAAGTCACAGATGCCCTCACAAAATAATGTTCCTGTGTCTTATCTGGGATGTTCACTGCAATGTGTCTGAAGAAACAATTTAAGTCTCAACATTCCTAACAGGCAGGTATTCGAGGGAAGTGATTATTCCCCTCTATTCAGCACTGTTGAGGCCACATCTGGAGTACTATGTCCCGTTTTGGGCCCCCACTACAGAAGGGATGTGGACAAATTGGAAAGAGTCCAGCGTAGGGCAACGAAAATGATTAGGGGGCTGGGGCACATGACTTATGAGGAGAGGTTGAGGGAACTGGCCTTATTTAGTCTGCAGAAGAGAAGAGTGAGGGGGGATTTGATAGCAGCCTTCAACTATCTGAAGGGAGGTTCCAAAGAGGATGGAGCTAGGCTGTTCTCAGTGGTGGCAGATGACAGAACAAGGAGCAATGTTCTCAAGTTGCAGTGGAGGAGGTCTAGGCTGGATATTAGAAAAAACTATTTCACTAGGAGGGTGGTGAAGCACTGGAAGGGGTTACCTAGGGAGGTGGTGAAATCTCCATCCTTAGAGGTTTTTAAGGCCTGGCTTGACAAAGCCCTGACTGGGATGATTTAGTTGGGGTTGGACTAGATGACCTCCTGAGGTCTCTTCCAACCCTAAACTTCTATGATTCTCTAATTCTATTGCTGTTCCAATTTTTCAGACAGGTAGACCAAGGTACAAAGAGGTTAAGACCTACATTTTCAGTTGTATTCACTAATTCTGGGTGGCACAGTTTTTTTGGATGTCCAGGCTAAAGGCCAGTACTCCTGATCTAGTCCCACCCAGCTCTTCCGCTGACTTGCTATATGACCTTGGGCAAGGCACTGAAACCCACACTTTCAAACTTGGATGCATAAAGCTAGACACCTAAATTCAGAGTTGGACACTTGAAATGGGTAGCCTGATGTTCATAGATGCTAAGCACACATAGGTCTCAGTGAGGTCAGTTGGATTTGTTTAGTGCTCAGCACCTCTGAGAATCAAGCCACTACTCAGTGGTTTGAGCATTGGCCTGCTAAACCCAGGGTTGTGAGTTCAATCCTTGAGGGGGCCACTTTGGGATCTGGGGAAAAATCAGTATTTGGTCCGGCTAGTGAAGGCAGGGGGCTGGACTCAATGACCTTTCAGGGTCCCTTCCAGCTCTAGGAGATAGGATATCTCCATATTTCAACATTTTGGCCTCTGCCTCAGCTTCCCCAATTGTAGAAGATGGATGATCATTCCTACCTTATTGATAGTGGTACTGTGGGGTTTCACAAAACAATGTTAAGACTAGGAGAACCTCAGCTCTCAGCTCAGGGTCTTCTTGAATAAATACCTTGATTAAACAAATATCCAGCACCTACAATAATGACCTATTACAGCAGAATACTAGTGTCTTTATGGTAATGGTTCAGCAAGGAAGTCCCAGAGGAAAACCTCCTTTCACTAGAACATCTCTTAACTCTCCCCCTCCCCTTCTTTCCCAAACCCTTCTGTGTTGCAAACCATGTGGTGCCAACGCATGTCAAATCCTGAGGGTGGTCACTTGGCTAAGAGCCATGGCTGTTTTATGCTACACAGCTGGTACAGGGAGCTGTATTTAACTCTAGGGGTCCTCTTTCTGATCCACACTAAAGTCAAATTCACTCACTAACGGAGTGAGATATTTCCTGCCCTAATGGAATGACAGAGCGCTACTGATGGAAAATGAGCTGACAACGTTTTATCTTCTGCCAGCATCCCCAACAGCCAGAAACATATACTGAAACACTCGAGCCAAGCCATATACAATCCCCTCTTCAAAAAAATAAATAGAAACCATGAAAATGCATTGTGGAATCTCAATGGCAGATTCCTGGGGTGGGTTTTGGTGCTTGATTTGTAGTTCCTTGGGTGAGGGCCCATATGGTCAACTTTTCTTGGCCCATAAACATTCCTTTGAAAGGCTCTCATTTTTACAATAGCTCACTTTCTCCTTTGACCCATTGTTGGAGAGAGGCACATGGATGGCAGGAGGGTTTTCAAAGGTATTTTGTTGAGAGTGAAAACAGCCTGTTTCCAAGTGAAACAAACATAAGTAATCCTGCTTTTGCAGCAGATGGTTAATTACAGAAAAACCCTTTCTGGAAGCTATGAGCAGCCAAGAGCCCTTAATTTCTCTCTCAGATACACAAGGCCAGGAACATGACTCCCTGTGCCTCCTCTAATGACAGAAGAGTCACATGTCCACATCATGAAATTACAGTGTGAAAGTTACAGAAAACAGGATCACCACTAGGAGAGAGGGACGGGAAACTATTGTGTTTGGGGATCACTGTTTGTGGCTGCATTTCATAGTTATGTTTGGTTGGAAAATAGTTTTTCTGAACTAAAAACTGCATTAAAGGGATAATGTTGGCCTAGTTTAGGACTCCATGTTAGAAAATTTTGTTCCACAGACAAAAAGGAGGAGCAAACTACTGCAGGAGCTTCAACCAGCACTCAACCAGATACTTCATGCACAATTACATACAGACTATTTTTTACAAGTAAATTTTTGCATGTTCAGAAATGTTGATTTGAATGCATCAGGGAAATCTGATATCCAGCTACCTGGTCTGCATGGATTAGTCTGAGACTACACATATATGCAAAAAACTATATACAAGGAATTGTGTGTTCAAAATGACAGGCAATCTTAAAGGCTGCTTTTGGAAATTTGGCTCAGTGTGAATAGAAATATTTTAATTTAAACTTTGGATTTTGTTTAAAATCCAAGGGAAAAAACTCTCCTCCATCCTCCTGTGCCCTGAAATACTAGAAATCCAAATACAGCAGCATAATGCTAGTGCATGAGAGCCAGAAAGCAAAACTGACTAGAAGCGGAAAATGAACTGACCTTGCCAAGCTAAGTCAGATGGAATAAAGGAAATAAATAGCAGAAATGGTACTAAAAAGAACTACAAACTAGATTTTCAGAATTTTACAGTTATGGTCCAAGTTCCTTATTTTGATCTCACCTGTACCATTTTTACAACTTGTTACTCAGCTGAGTTCAGTGAAATTACTTCCGATTTAAACAAGTATAAGTGGATCAAAATCAGGCCCTATGTCATAATTAGAGTATGGCCATTTATTATGGTTATTAATGTGACTACTATCTGGGCAATATCCCTTTAAAAACATTCAAAGAAACGAGCTCAGGTGGAATTCAAGCTGCCATGACATCTTTGGAACTGAATTAGGGATGATCCAAGAGCAGAAATTCTCTATTACAGAATTAATTTTAAAAACCCAACAAACATAAGATACTCTAAGCAAACAACGGTTTAGAGCAGCATGAACCAGATGGGAGATGGAATCATCCTCCACCTGTTAGATTCTGCTGAAAGATATATTTTCTTTTATGTCCTATGAAGCGGTTTTGCCCTGAGCAAATGATTTCTGAGCCAGAGAAAAGGGCCTGGTAACAGCTGTATTTATTAATCCTGACCCCATCTCATGCTCTCAACACAGCTATCACTCCAAAGAGCTGTACGTGCAGCTACTGTTCACCGGCAAGCCCTTCTGTACAAGTGCAAAGATAGCCAAGATCATAAAAGCAACATGGTGGTGTCAAAAGTAATCTTCCTTCTCCCCAGTAAACCGGAGATTGCATTTATTGAGGCTGCCAAGCAGACCGTATCACAGAGAAAAAGAGACAAGTCTCTTGACATGTGCTAGAAATAGGGCAGCTGCTATATCCTACAAAAAGAAGTTTCATGACTTGACAAATCAGCCGAGATGATGACGACCCTGATATTTAGAATGGTGTACGATTTTGTGTCTGCAGATAATCACTGGTATGATTTGTTGCACTAGTTGTCAAGTTACTAGATTTACAGGCACAGAATTACAGGTGTAGAACTGAAGGCCACTATTCTAAGTTAGGTAGCATCAATGGTTAGCTCCCTTTCTTCCAGGGATTGATGCAGGAGCTATTCCATTTGTGAACTAGTTGGTATTGTCCTTCCAATTGGACCATCTGAAGGACAGCGCTCACAATTATAACAGGGGGCATGACAGTTATAGTGGGGGCCTTATTCTACTCTTAACCGTGCTGGTGCAAATCAGAAGTAAAACCACAAAAGTCAATAAAGTTCTATAGACATAAACACAGTATAAAACTGGTGAGAGAATCATAGAAATGTCAGTCTGGAAGGGCCCTCGAGAGGTCATCAAGTCCAAGCTTCCCCACTGAGACAGCACCAAGTAAACCTAGACAAGGGATGGTCAAACTTTTTGGCCCGAGGGCCCCATCTGGGTATGGAAATTGTATGGCGGGCCATGAATCCTCACCAAATTGGGGTTCGGGAGGGGATGAGTGTGCCTCAGGGGTGCAGGCTCTGGGCAGCGCTTACCTCAAGCAGCTCCTGGAAGCAGCGGCATGTCCCCCATTCCAGCTTCTACAGGGAGGCGCGACCAGGCAGCTCTGCTGCGTGCTGCCCCGTCCGCATGCGCCGCCCCTGCAGCTCCCATTGGCCATGGTTCCCGACCAATGGGAGCTGCGGGGGTGGCGCTTGGGGCAGGAGGAGCGTGCGAAGCCCCCTGGCTGCCCCTATGTGTAGGAGCCGGGGGGGGGACATGCCATTGCTTCCGGGAGCCAAACAGAGTGGCCCGCGATCCTGCTCCCCAGCTGGAGCACGGGAGCAGGAGCTCGACAGCCAGATTAAAATGATTGGCGGGCCGAGTCCGGCCCACAGGCCATAGTTTGCCCACCCCTGGCCTAGACCATGCCTGACAGATGATTGTCTAACCTGTCCTTAAAAACCTCCAATGATGGGGATTCAACAACATCCCTTGGAAGCCTATTCTACCCTTAGGACTGATCTACACTGGGGTGCTGTTTAAAGGGTCTCTGATTGATTTACAGTCGGTCCAAAACTTAAGTTTTGCAAAACCCAGGGTATAACATTTTAAAACAATAGAAAGGTGTCTAATGTTTTTAAAATTCTAATAATATTTTTGTTTCAAGTTTAACATCCCCCTGCAGTATTTGCAATCTAAATATTGCAGCATGTGCTAACACTTGGAGAGCCACTAAGTGAAACTGATTAGATACTGATTGGAAACAAAGTGAAACTGACTAATCATTTTTTTTTAAACACTTCACTCAGGGTGAAGAATGAAAAAAACAGCAGCATTAGCAATGAAAGCGAAGGGGCTCTTAAAAAATTCTTTCCATTTTAAGAATCTCAGAGGTCCTATTAACACAGGTGAGGACATTTCTTTTAAAATACCCTGATTCACTGCTATGCTACTCCAGTTTTACAGTGATGTAACTCTACTGAAAACAAATCAATGGAGCTAAACCCGCATAAAATTGGAGCAAATAAATGGTAAATGAGGTCCATTAATTTTAACCCAAGTAGCCCTTAAATATCTCCAGTGATAGGGTAAAACATAAGGCAAAAGGAAAATTTGTCAATCAATCATTCTAGGGCCAGGGCATGTCAAAACAGCATTACCAGAACCTGGTGTTTATTGATGATCTTAAAATGTGGTTAAAATCAGAAAAAGTAGGCCAAAATCTGCTCTCAATCCCTGAAGCTGCTCCAAGCTTTAGAATACCGTCAGTTACACATTCATTCCAGATTTACACCAGGATAAATTTAGTGACTGATCCAAAGCCCTTTGAAGTCATTGGGAGGCTTTCCAATAATTTAGTGGCTTTGGATCAAGCCCTCAGAGCAGAATTTAGTGCGGTGACACTGCAAGGTTCCATATTTCTTCTCCCTTAATGACTCTTCTAGAGTAAATTTGCTCAGTCTAGACATCAAAACACTAGTCTTTGCCAATCATGCAAACTCAGCCTCTTCTCTTAAAACCAAGCTGTGTTCTTTCCACTTCACCCCTCATCACCAACAAATTCTGGAATCAGCAGTTAGGTAGTAGTTTTTGATGAGACATGATAGAATAGAAAGCATCTCTTCTGTTACCTTCCTAGGGTGGCTCTGAAGCGCTAGTGAAACACTGACTGTGTCCGTAAACTAAACAGGTATTACCAAAAAGAAACATCAACAATCTATAAAGTGTGCAACATGGTGTCATTTTTATAGCTATTTTTCAGCCCATAACAATGCTATGAAGATGAGCTGAAAAGCTTTTATAAATTAATTATAATGATAAAAACCCACCAACAACTCACACTGCCCAAGATGTTAACAGCTAAATTCATGCAGAACTGATGAGGGAAATCAATGGCTCTTGCATATAAATAACCAGAAGCAGAATTTGGCCATAAACCAATAACAGACTATGAATTTTCAGAACACAGGAATTGCCATACCAGATCAGACCAGCGATCCATCTATCACATTATCTTGCCTCTCACAGTGGCCAATGCTAGATGCTTCAGAGGAAGGTATAAGAACCCCCCAGTAAATAATTATCGAGTAACATGCTGATAAGGGAGGTTTTTCCCTAAATCCTATCAGTAAGTGGTTAGTTTTATCCTGAAGCTTGAGTATTCATTGCCCTACATTTCTGTTTTCGTCCTGTCTCACATAACTTGATTTTTGATTATCTATAAAAATGACTAACCCTTTATTTCATTATTATTATTATTATTACACTAAATTCTTATAGTCAGTAATGTATTGTGGCAGTAAGTTCCATAGGTTCATTATACATTGTGGGGGTGGGGGAGCATTTTCCTTTATCAGTTTTTCATTTGTTTCCTTTCAAATTTCATGAATGTTCCTTGTTCTTCTATTGTGAGTGAGGGTAAACAGGAGCAGCTGTTTTATCTTCTCTATGCCATTCATGTTTTTATATATGCCTATCATCTCTTCACTTATTTGTCTCTTTTCTGTGGGCCAAATCTTGTCACCTTTACTCACACTGAGTAGCACATCAGTCTGCAAGTAATGCCACTGAAGTCAACATGACTACTTATGGAACAAGGTACTAGTCCGTGAGCACCCCTCCAGCCTAACCAGGCCTCATGGGGAGGGGGCATGGTAGGGAGGGGCAATCCAGCTCTACATCACCATCCCTCAAAATTCCCAACATAGGGGGAATGGCTGGAGCACCCCTGTGCTCCACCAAGCCCCCACTGGCTTAACTGTTCCTTGTGGACCATTATCAGCCAGTGTAACTGAGAGCAACCCCGAGGTTGCTGTGTGTCATATTATTACATCCTTCCCATGCCAATGTTGGTGCACAGAGCAGAAACTAGCTTCTTCCAACCCTCTCAGCCATTAGCTGTTGCTTCCTTCTGCTCTGTGGTGTTGAGATTACGGTTCTGCCACCCCTGCTAAGGCTTCTTCTTAATGTTTCTATTGAGTGCCCTTGTTTCCTCACACCACTTGGTTTCCACTTGCTCTCAGCTTCCCGTGGGAGTCTGTGTTGGCATGTGGGATACCTGCACCAATATGTCCAGCGCTTTCTTCTGATTCTGGTGGAAACATGCTGCTGGTTACATCTCTTCAATGGTGATAAACTCTCTCCATCCAATGCCCAGAAGCCAGGGGGCTGGCTTCTTCCTTTCCCCAGGAATGCTCAACCACTGCTCAACCCCAGGCTCTACCCCCACTCCACATGCCTTGAGTTTAGTGAAAGCTGTGGAGGCCTTTCCTATCCTTGATTTCACTTCTTTCTCGAGATCTCTGTTGTGCTTGGGGCCAAGTTGGTCCTAAGATCAGGGAATCACAAAGGTGACAAAGCCATTTTTTGCCCTTCCCTTCAGGTTCTTTGTTGGACAGAGTTTGGTTAAACCCAGGGGTCAGGGCCATGTTTTATTACTGGATTAGGAGCTTACATTTACATTTAATTTGTTTTTAAAGCTTTTCAGATCATCTTTAAGCACTGTTTAAAAAGAGGCGAGAGAAATATATACACATATATATACACACACACACGTGCTCGCGTGTATGTGCATGTACACAGGAGCATAGGAGAAAACTGATTATTGATTTGCAAGACAAAAGCCACAGCGACACCATCACATTTCACTTCTGTAATTTGGAGTTTCCAGTGAAGAATCTGATTTCATCATTTTCAGTTCTGTGAATCACAGAAATAAGAGCTGAAAAGGGCCTGCATTTCATCAAATCCATCTCTCTGCCAGTGCAAGATTCTTCCCTACAGAGTATACTCCTCTCCCTTTGCCAGCTCAATTTTAAATGAATCAAGCAACTGGACTTTCACTACTGTCCTTAATACACTGTTTCACAATCAAACAGACGCTGTTGTTAGGAAATCTTTCCTGGCGTGTGCAGAGGTAACTTACTGCAGCCATGGAGTTGATGCGGTCAATATAGTAATCCGGCCAGCTGGTAGCAAGCTTATTAGGGTCTTCTTGTTCCTGAAACAGAAAATTAAACAAAGTTACATGAGCAGGCTTAAAGGATAAATAGTTTTCATTTGGTTGAAATCATCTGGAATTCTTGACCATCTTACTTCCTACCCATTTCCTTATAACACACACATCTTTATGGATTTTATTACAAACCTCTTTGAAGGTATAGTGCTAAAGGTATCCTTGTGATGGCAGAGAAGGAAAGATCACCCTTCAAATAGGATTACTGAAAACAGCATTACAGAACTGACTGAGACAAGGTTGTCCTTCCGTGGCCAAATGACAATACTCCCCTCCTCACAGTATGATGACAAAGCTTGCCCTCAAAGGACAGAGCCTTCAAGGATAACTCAGTTACATTTTCAAGTCTTACATTTTACAGATTTTAGAAAATATTTTGCATTATTTCTGCTAATTGGATGGGCAAGTTTCACTAACTACAGAGAAAAATGCCAAGCCAAAAAGTCTGGAAATAGGCCAAATGACTGCTTCTTAGGAAGTTATGCACAACCTCAAAGCCTCCAGATGAACAAAACTGGAATCTGTGAATTACAGTGAAAGCTGCATCAAAGACCACCTCCGAGAGCGGTCTTAATAATTTTAAAGTATCTCCGTACATTTTGCAATTAAACTCACCTTTCAGTTAAAGGCCTACCTCTGCTGGGCAACCACATTTTACTGGTTCTTTGGGTGGTCACTTGAGAGGTTTCACTGCATCAGATTTTATTTTACTTTACTTTGTGAAGAGGCTAGACAGATAGACTAGAAACCAGTAAGAAAATAACGATTGGTTTCTGGAGCCCTAATCTCCCACCACAAGATATAAGTAGCTTACATTAAAATCAATTGAAGTTCTATCTTGTGGTTGAAGAACTGTGTCCCTTGGAGTTATACTAAAGATGGATGAACAGAGATTATCTTTCTGTCTGTCTCGCTAATCTTCCTGACATTCTATTGTCCTGTATGTATAAACAATTATTCATATCAACAGGCTTAGCTTGTAAAAGTTATACAGATGAACATCAAATAGCCAGATCTTTATCAGATCGCATCAACTCTTTTAGTGCTGCTACATATTTATGTTGTTTGGAGAGAAGAAATATTTCTACACGCCCCCAAACTGGCCTGCCTTCAAAAGAACCTTAATACTTGTCAAGCTCCTTTCAGGTTAAAATTAAATCATAGCATACACTGTAACAAATCCATGGAAAATGTCAGGCTTCAAATTTGGAATTCACAGCAACAGCAGGGGTAAAACTCAGATCTTCCTGCTCCAAGACCACAGACTCCTATCACTTGAACTAAAGGAGAATCTCAATTAGCTGTTAGCAGTATACAGCCAATGACATAATAGAACAGTTCTGCTTCTAGCCAGTAGAGGGCAGTGGTACATATACCTACCAAGCCAGTTCATTACAATACCTACCTCTAGCTATACATAAAGCCTAAGCGGCTGTCAAAACGGCAAGAGGCATCAAATGCATTGCCTAGTTCCACAATTTATCACATATATACCACCTCCCCACCAGTGGGGTGTGTGGAAATTCATGCCACACATGCACACTTTTCCAGTGCAAGTTGGAAAGCCTTTGTTTTCCTTCTCTCCCTTTCCCTGATGAAAGCAGTAGGCTGATAGAGCTAAATCCTTGCTTACCAACAGATCCAGAGCTATATGGCTCCCCATAAGTAATCAGCTAGATTTCTACACCTCATTTCATTGCAGACTGCCTTTTAACACCTACTCTCTACTAGATGCTGACAACTGTTTTGCACACAGCAGGCCTTAACCTCCTATCCAAGAGTCAAAATATGACCTTGCTGAAGGAAAAAACAATACAAAAACATGCAGTTGATAAATACAGCATTATTTTTAGAAAATAATCTTATCATGACCTGAGTAGCACAGGGGAGAGAGAGAGAGCTAATCTAGTGCTAGTTAAATAAAGGCCATTCCACTGGGCACCATGACATATACAGCAACCTATTTGTAAAGGGACATCAGGCCAAGACACCAATCTGCAGTGCAAGGTGCCTTGATCGGTCTTCCTGGAAGTTTCCTGTGTAAAGGAGTCTGAAAGAGCGAGTGACCTGTGCTACAGTTGTTTCCTAGATAAATGGGACAGTAAGTCTGTGAGAACAATATACACAGCATCTCCTTTGCCTATTCATTGAACCCCAGGCTAGGGAAGAGGAAACAAATTCAGATAAAGTGACAACCATTCTCCAAATCTCAAAGAATCCGAGTAAAAAAATCTAAGATTCTTAAAAAAGCAGAAGTGTTAGAATACCGTGAGAAATCCTGCTCTTACTGGATTTCCAGCCCAAACAATAGGCTAAAAGGGTTTAAGATAGGAAATTATTCAAGTATTTGGATGCTTTTCCTATCTGAACCCCTGAAGCTTTGGGGGTTTGACCAGTTGTATTAAAAGATCAAGAACTCTGACCTTCCTAAGGTAGGATTCTGTATTTTTGGTTGGCTGAGCAGATGAAGGTGTAGTCAATTTACTCTGTGATTTACTGTTTCCCTCCCACTACTTTCTACCCTTCTATATCCAGCATATAGTGTGGTCCTAACCCTGAGATCAAAGCTTAATGCCTCTTCTATGACCATTCTGCTGCTTTTGAGCAAGGGCTGGGTGAGAACTGGTTTGGATGAAATAAACATTGATCTGAGGTTCAAAAAAAGTTTGGTTACATTTGTGTGTGTGAGAGAGATTGCATTTTCTGATTCTGATTCTGACCAAAAACCGAAGGTCCAAAATCCCATAAGGAAAGCTGTTCTGTTTATGGGCCTAATCTTAAGAGGAATTCCTCAGTCCTTATTCAGACAAAATTTTCATTGAAATCAATGACTGTTTTGGTTGGAAAAGGTCAAAATCTCGCCCTCTATTTCTGAAGTAGAAGAAAGCCAGTTCTTACAAAAGCTACTTTTGCAAACTCAAGAGGTCTGGATAAGCATGCGGATGTTTATCTGAACTCTCAAAACATTGGTTGGTCCATCACTAATTTTAGGCAGCCACCTGGAGAACATTTTCAAAGCATCAGTTTCTGACGTGAGATACCCGAGATCACACTGAGATTTACATCAGCCTCAGGAGCAGTACCACGATATATTACAATTGGAGACACTGGGGAAGATGGTTCATTGCCCAGGTAATGCAAAAGTTCTCTGCAGTATGAAATCACAGCATCTCACTTCTTCTCAGACAACAGAATCTAAAATACTTTGGATTTCTTAAAGACCATCGAGATTCTGATCCTCAAATAAAACATTTCATATTGCCTCTCAGCAACTTGCACTGATGTTGATGACAAAATCCTCTTCTTCCTCCAGAACATGCAGAAGGAAAAAAGTGGGGCCTGCTACCCAAAGCCACACAGGCGTCAATAACTGGAAACAATTACCCAGCTGTCTGAAGCAAAATGTCAGCCAAAGGAATCTATTAAAGCAAAGCCACTTTTTAGCTCCTTGAGTAGTGTAAATATTACATTAAAAAACAGACGTCAGTCAGTGGGCTTCAGAAGCAACCATGTCATTCTTCACCAGAGCAACAGCTACGTAACTACTGTGAAAACACAGCCCTGATATCATACAAGCCTGTAATAAAGTCAAGGTATTATATAGGCATTGAAGCTAATTTGGACTGAGTCCATCCTCATGGCGGAAACTGAGACTTGAGTTGAACAACTTCATCTAACATAAGATTTAATGGAATAGTTCAAATACTTGGAATATTTGAACCAACTGCAAAAATAAAACTAAACAAAATATTCTAGCCACAGTTCATTTGATCCTGCAGGCCTTTTACAGAGTTCTTGGGGAATCAATCCATTATACAGTCTTCATGGACACATTCTCTTCAATGGCACGAAGACATTTGGTGGCATCAGCTCCTAGTGTGAAAGACATGCGCACTAGAAAAAACCCACCATGCCTGTAAGTACATCATTCCCCTCTGCTGGTGGTCCTTTGTAGAGAGGCATTCAAACACTAAGGTGATGGGTGCCGTATAAATGGGTAAGAGATTGAATAGGCCCTGAAGATTAAATGCCTAGCTTATCTGACAAATGTCTTTCAGGAGAGGGTTGAGTCATTTGGGAGAAGACTTCACAGCAGCTGCCAGCACTGTATCTTTTTTGCGGTTAAGCACTCGACTTCAGCATCCGGGGCTGTAGATCTGAAATTTTACTCTAAACACCAAATATACTCAACAAAACATAGTATTTCTCCAGAGTATCTCCTTAGTATCCAAGCACTTCCCGGACATGAATGGATTTATCCTCACACTACCCTTAGGAGATAGGGAGTGATTTACCCCAATTTTACAAATGGGTAGAGAGGGACAAGAAGAAAAGTTGAAGTGACAATCCAAACTCACCCAGGAAGTCAGTGGCACAGCTGGGAATAGAATTCTGATCGCTTGATTCCCAGGCCAGTGCCCTTACAAGACTATCTTTCCTCTCCTATTACAGTGACCTGATTTTCAGAGGTCCTGGAAACTCTCAGCTCCTTGGGAACTGCAGATGCTCAGCATCTCAGCAAATCAGGCCATGTGCACACTGGACCATGGCACCATTTAACCACACTTCAGGTGTAAATATCCTGTGCTGATGAGTCATGCTGGCTTACCACACAGACTAAGGTACTGTTTGCCACTTACACAGCTGTCCAAAACACTTAAGCACACTTCCTGATAAGTGGAAGTAACAGACTACCTTTATCTGCTGAACTCCTTCCCCCAGTCCATTTGGTTGATAAGCATTATTTAAAGCAGCAGCAGGACAGGCAACTTACATAATGCCATCGAGTTTGGGTTTAAAATCTTTTTCACAAGTCCTTTATTCGGTGTAGTGAATTCTGGTTGACCTCAGTAGAAACAGCATACAAAACAGATGGAAGAAAAGAAATCCAAATGGGCAAACATATGAGATAAACTTTTCATTCCTATTTACTTATTGTAATCTGCAAGTAAGAGCAAACTGGTGCTTGCAATCAGTGTAAATCT